AAAAAAAAAAAAAAAAACAGAAAAACTACCCCAAATTTTTCTCACCGGTTCTGCTCAGAAGAGCCGCTTTGCAGTGCCAGCTGCAGAGCTGCCGTGTTGTACTGGAGAGTGCCGCGATTTCAGACAGCCGCTCTTGGAGATGGGGCACCTCAGGCTGTGTGTTAACTCTGAAGCCTACCAGCCATCATTCGGTTTTTAATACCAGCACTTATTGCACTGTTGCAGCTTTCTGAAAAAACAAGCTACTGTTGAATTTAATGCTAGGTTTAATTTGAACCTGATGTCATCCCAAAGCAAGAAAACTTGTCTGATTCCTGGTCATTCCTGGTGTGCAGCTGGCAGAGGGCCCTTCTGGTGGGGGCCTGTGCTGTTGAGCTCTTGCACCAGGACCCTGTAACATAGGAGCCTGGGCACCACACGGAGCCACGCTGGTGGGCTGAGCAACAGGCTCTGGTTTCTCCAGGAAATTGCCTCTGCTGGGCTGGTAGAAGAGGTGAAGCGAGCTGGTGTAGGAAGGAGGTGCAACATCCCAGCCAGCATCGCGCAAGCCCTTTCCAATTTTTGCCCTGCAAGGATCAAACAGCGCAGCCCAGAAATCTCTGTGAAGCTAACAGAGGTGCAGAGCTTGAGCTAAGGAAGAATCACCTGGAATACACACCGTGCCGACATACCCAGCATTAGCAAAGTAAACAGGGCAGAAATCAAAACTTCAAGGGCTCTCTTGTGCAACAGGGGTCTTGTCCAGACCAGCAGAGCTCATTCATTTCTACGCAGAACTCCACAGCAATAAACTTCTTTGCAAGATCTGGTTTTGAACGTTTTTCTTTGCCTTACTGAAGCACCCAGACAGTGCAGTCAGTGAAGTCCTGATCCCAGAAAGGATTCCAAGCCAAGGGACATGAGCCAAGGGACATGTTATGGTAGGTGAAGTCAGTGGGACTGGAGATGCGCTGAGCATCACACACAGCTTCAAGTCTGGAGTTCTCCTCACCAAAGGGAGCAACAGCCATAGAGGAGCAGCAGTGGCCATCATGGCTCAGGGCTGGAGGTCCGCCGTTGAGTAATCCTCCCACCAAACCTCCCGTGAGTCACCTCCCAAGCACCTGGCCTAAGGCTATCTTGGAACAAGCTGAGTAAGAGTGGATAAAAACATCAGGAAAAGAGCCACGCAGAAGTAAGAGTTAGCAGCTGCAAGCGGAAGAAGATAATCACGGTATCTGACAGGATAATCAGCCCTGATGATTTTAACTTAGGTTTGTAATCAGATTTTTTCTTTTCATGCAAAGAAAGCACTTGGTAT